ACTATCCTGCGAGAAAACTACTACTTTTTGTCTCATGAATTTTTTCTCATATCTTGCTTTGGTTAGAAAACAAAAAACATAAAACTAACTATAAAAATATTTTTCAACATTTCAATTATATTTGCAAAAATTCCACTAAAAATAACTTAATATTTATCATACAAAAAATTTACAAAAACTGTTGAAACTAACCACCTCCAGCTCGGATGCAGAAATCCAATCGTCTCCCTCATGTACAGACGAACTCTATCGAAAATGCCAAAGCAATTATTCCATTTCTTAGGTATTCTACATTACATACAGGAATAACGTAAACCATTGGCAATGACCCCATAGGAAAAAATCCAGAGGATTGAAATCTGGGGGTCGTGCAGGCCATAAATGAGGTTCACGTCAGCTAATCCAGTGATTGCCTTATCTTAGTATCAAAAACTTAAGAGCAACTTGACTAAAATCCGCTTGCGGCATTCTGGTAAATAAAACACATTGGTATTTCTTATTGCTAGGGGTACGTTTTCGAGAAATCCAGAATCTGATATTGCACGTGGACTTTCATCCTACCATAAATGAGTATTATGAAAATTTCTTATTGCATTTCTTGAAAAATTCGCTTCATCGGTAAACAGAATCTGCATCAGTTGGGCGATTTAACCATTTTGTGCAAAAGACATTGATACAACGCATGGAAGAAAAGCGTTGGATACGGCTTAGATAGAACAAATTATCTTTGAGAATTTGCCACACAGTTCCGTTATTTACATTCAACCATATTCTTGCTATTCCGCCACTTCGTTTTAATGTGTTTTATGAAGGCGTCGATGAATGCTTCCTAAAATTTTTCTATGAATACGATTAGGGAACATTTCGGGGTACAACCGGCTTCTACTGCATCACCATCAGCGAGTCCATAAATAAAGTGCATGTTGGTCATCTCCGTATTCGTATGGCGATTCGAATTCCCTTACTCCAGATACAAAATATTTGACATATGCGAATAACACCTAAAGTTCTCGTTGCAGGTGGAATTATTCCCAAAGCTGATAGGAATGTTGAAAAATATTTTTATGATAAATGGGCATGCAATAAAATCGTTTTTATTTCGTAAAGGAAGTCAAGATATTAGAAAAATTCAAGAGGCGAAAAATTAAGATCACCGTTTAATTTTTATTTGGTTTTAAAAATTTCAAACAAATCACATTACTTAAAAAAAACTTTAACATATTGTAAATTGAAAACAATGTATTTACGAAACTACAAAATGGGAACATTTTTCATAAAATAACCTGCGGAATCGCCCCTTTAAATATTGCCTCTTTAAATATAACAATATAAGGCTGAAAACAATATATCCACTAATATATTATCATGAGTTATTCGTTCAAACTCATGTTACCCTCATATAAGTGCTAAGTCAACGCTCTTTAAATTTGTATTCGCAAAATTTTGATATGCTGTTACTATCTATACACTTCTGACCCGCTGCATCAGTAAGTCAATAACAAAAGAAATAAGGGCATCTGCGATATGTCAGCATGATGATATCTTTCGAAAATGTACTAAACTCGTCGTGCATACGCTATCACCTCTCGAAGGTTTATGATTCGGTATGAGTCTGTTTAGAGGTTATTGGGAAAGCTGTATGCAGCGGAGGCTAGGATGAAGCAAATTGTGATGCTGGTACCTATTTTGGGACATTGTTTTAACGATTATGCTGATATAGGAAAATATGTTCCGGCGTTTAAAGTAATATGATTTGATATTGTCATATCAAATTCTAAATTGTATGTGTGAATATGAGGACTATAGAAGTACGTAATGTATGCGGGTTTTCTAATTGTGTGTTTCGATAGTGTGCTACGCCATTATGATATTGAACAGCTGTGCACATACCAGCCAGTCTTAAGTTTAAGGAGTACAATGACCATTCCCAGCTAATTATATTACATATATAAATGTTTTTTTTTGGTTATTAGAATTAACAATAGATTTTAGGATTTGTGAATAAGAGCTTGGATAGTTGCATTCATAGATTGGTTGTAATGGCTTTCCACGCACATCACTTATTTATTATCATAAGAGCTTTTCGCCTTCGAAGTTTATAGAGGTGACATAAAATCTAAGTAGTTGGACTTTCAACCTTTCATCATGTTTTCTTTGTACTTGGATTTTTGATTTTTACCTATTACAAGCTAAAAAGTATATAGCATTTAAATAAAATAAAATAATATCCACTTCAATGAAAACAAAATTACTCTATTTTTTCTCCACCAGTTATAAAAACGTCGAGGAATATTTCTCTCTACATATAACATTTTTCGATATTTGGAAAAGTGTTTGTATTATAATTCAAACTTAAACTTATTCTTCATTTAGATTAAAGGAATTTCCCCAAGACAATTTTTATTGAAGACTGAGAAAATAACGTTAATTCCCTAGGACAGCCTACAATCTTCGTTGAAACCAAGGATCATTTTATATTGTGGATTCTAACGATGAGACAAATTGTAGTATTTCGAAATTTACACACTAGCTCTTACGGGCACTGTTTCTTGAAAATAAATGTAAATTATTCAACATAGAGATTTAAAGCGCACGAAGGGTCGTCGCCGGAACTGGAAACTTACGCTGTTGCCGCTTGCGGAGAAACAGCAAGAATTTTTAGAATATAAGCGAAAAACAGGAAAATAGAGATCCTAAGTTCTTAAGGCGTTCATTCATCCCTTTTTTCTCAAAACATTTAATTTGTTGTTTGTTGACGCTATTTTTTGATGGATGTTTTTTTGTTTTTTCCCTACGACTGATTTCCTTCTGTCCATTTTTCTTCTCCTTTCTACAATTTTATCTTGAAGAATCAGACATAGAAGGTAGTAGCGGCCTACATGTAGTGTGTGCTCACTTTCATGAAACCAGATATGATATGCTGGGTATTTTTCATTTCCTGCTTCGCTTAATGCGTGGTCGGTCTAAAGTGTGTCGTTTACTTTAATTCTAAATTTTGCCAACCAAAAATTATATATTTTCTTAAATAATAAATCAATTTAAATTCAGTCGCTGACCAACCTGATAAGTTCAAATGTTTTTCCGAATATTTTTGTTGAATTGTAAATTGCATTGAATTTGATATTTCTTTCGTATACGGTGAACACAGCGGAATTTGTAAGAAGACGACCGCTTTTAACCACAAACTATAGAATATTCCAGTTCGAGCTTTAGTAAGTCATTGGCGATTTGCAAAGTTATAGACACAAGCTTTATCCAAGAAATACTTGAAATTAAACACCCAACTACATATATTTTTGCCTTAAGTTCGTTCGATCAACCAGCGTGGTAATTTTGGACTACATGTGGCAAAGCTATGTTTGGATGTTAGCTTTTTTTAAGGTTTTCTTCCTTCAGAAATGATGAAGTTGTTTTGCTACAAATTTTAAACACTTCAGGTTTAATAAAATCACAAATCTGCAATAGCCTCTGCCTCTTTAAGCATATTTTAGCAATTTGGTTATAAATTAAGAAACATTTATTCAACTCTTCAATTCAATTATTATCATGCAAAATTCAAGCGTTATTCTTAGAATAATCGGCTATAGCGTTAACGAACCTCGCGCCGGTACCTCAAACTCAATAAGGTGGCATTCCCGCGAAACCGGCAACAATGCGGGACCCGGAGAACATTTGATCCTGCTCCCGGTATTTGATTAGAGACTTTCATCGTGTCCGGTCTCTGACGTCGTTAAAATGGAATTATTAAGCTCCGATTGGTTGGAGATGCACGCTGAATATTACCTGTGTCGGAGGCGATTATCTGAAGAGAATTTTAATGGACCGCTCCGCTGGAAACGTGAAATATAACCACGACCAGGAAATCATAAATTTTTAAGATTTTTAGGATTTAGGATAAAATGGTTTTTTTTCTTTTGGTAGGTTAGAACGTTCCATAAAAGCGGCTACGAAATAATGCCAGAACTGGAATTATAAATGCGACCTTTATCAACAGACCAAGAGTACACGAATCTGAACAACTCAAGAGGAGAAACATCGACGTATTGATATATATATATATATATATATATATATATATATATATATATATATATATATATATATATATATATATATATATATATATATATATATATATATATATATATATATATATATATATATATATATATATATATATATATATATATATATCATCCGTTCGCTTGTTGAACTCCGACTGGAATCCTGCAGACGTTTCGCCAAAATCTCAATTGGCATCTTCAATGCTCGCGAGCATGTGTGTGTGTGTGACCAGTTATTGTTTGGACCATATCATTGCATGTAATTGCAATATATTTAATGTATATATGTTTGTCATTTTATAAAATCTTAAAGAAAAAAGAAAAACAACAGAATGACAACGTAATCTAAAATAAATGCAACGGCGGAATAGTTATAAACGCGTGGGTAAAAATTGTTTTCCATAACGAAAACTCCAACGGTGACAATAATTTTAGTAGAAAAATCAAACTGACACAAAAACAACTAAAGCATGTTACGAAAATACATGCAAAATCTAACACATTGAACGAATCAAATATTTTTACTTTTATTAAAGTTTAAAAGAATTTGATCGCGGTTTTTCGGCGGGCTCACTGGTGTCGCTGAAACATTTGTTTTACATTGAAAGTTCTTATGAATTACAATGCAACTAGCAACACAATCTAGCAACGGTGGTTTCTGTCTCGTGCACCAAAACAGGTGAGACAACATCTAAAAATTGAAGCTCAAATCGGTCAAAGATTGCAGGTTTCAAATGCCGCTAAAAACTAAGTTTGGTATCTCTCAATGACAACACAAAATAGAATGAAAGAGAGAGAGACCAAATTTTTATGGAACTTTTTCTTTGCCCGCGTTTGACTGATCTGGGCAATCGTGAAACGACAACATCGATAATAGTAAAACGTGACTAAAAACATATAATAAAAACACAGTGAATTGCGAGGTGGCCGACGTACCACAAAATAACCATTTGTGAATGGAACAGGACCGGGCCGAGACGCCAGCGAAAGGCCGCTGCGCTCAGTCCCTGGAAAAAATAAATATTATCAATTACACAATCACGTCAAATGGATTTCCTGCTAATTAATGCCTCGCCAATTGCTGTAATATTTGCAGATTTTGTTTATGTTTTGGTGAGATTAATACTTGGAAACACACAAAAATTCAAAATTTTTGTTTAGCTCTAGCTAAAGAGTCTGCAACTACGACTAAAGATTTTAAGGAATATACAAATTTCTCACTGACGCAAAGGCGCATTTCGAAACTTCAAAATTTATTATTTTTTATTCATTTATTTATAATTTTTCCTACAAAGTGTCACTAAAGAAGGGACGCCCAGATTCTGCGGATACAGTCAAAAAAATGTTAGTGTTAGTGGCGCCGCCCTACTGTCTTAGTCAGAGAATTTTTGAAATTATATGTAAAATATATATAAAAATATAAAACACTTTGTTTATATATCGCTATATTTTTTTATGTAATAACTTATGTGTTGTTGAAGGAACAATTTGAAATGTAATAAGCAAAAATTTATTAATAAAAACAGTAAAACCCACCTACCAGATTGGAACAAAACTTCCTCAAAAGTATAATTGAAATAAAAAACAAAAACATAAAAATTAAGCCAAAGTAAACCGTTCAATGTCGAATATTTCGTTCACCAGCTTTTATTTCTGCCTCTATAAGCCTCGGGAGACCCTCAAGAAGACCCTGAATGACCCCTACGGCATTTCCTCCCATATTCGAAAAAGCATATTTTGAAATTGGTCTATGGCCCTAAATGTTGAATTATGCTGCATAAAAACGAAATTGTCCCCTATTTGAGTCTGAGAAGGGACCACGTGAGGTTCAACGACCTGCTTTCGTTTACAGCCACCAATTCGGTGCGATATGCCATGCCCGACCATAGTTGAGCCTCCACCAAAACTACGTTCTGAATGAAATTGCATTGCTAGTGATGTTCTCCAGGTCGTCTCTAGACAGGCATATGTCTATCTGAGGCGTAAAATCAGAATCTGGACTCATCTGTAAAGGGGACATTTAACCATTCTTCGAGTCCACAATTCACATGGTCCTTGGAAAATTGTACTGACCTGTTCCTCTGTACCGATCTAGACTCTGCAGGATTTACAACTTTGCTCAGCAAGTTTGATTCGCACATTTGGCTTCGGCAGTCCTCAGCAAGAACAACTGCTCTTATGGCCTCTTAAGCAGTAAAATTACGCGTAGACGGGTTTTTTCATTAAAAAAAATTTCGTCAAATGCATTTATAGGTTTGTGTACATAAATACTGAAACCTTAATACCACATAATTAATACGAGATAATTAAAACTAGAATGTGAAATCCCCATCTATCTGATGTCCTTTCAGGGTTCATAAAAAAAAGAATTTTTTTATTATTGTAATTTTCGTTTGTTAAATGATAAAAATATATATCGTAAACTTAGACTAGGCCATAGTATATTATGCAACAAGTGTGGTAAATGGAATTTGGGTCACCAGCGTAGCGGAGCATGTGTTTAATAAACGAGTGACTTGAAAAGTTTATCAAACGTATTGCATATTATGCCTTTTCTACCGTAAGTTTTTGGGTAGATTTTTGCAAAAAAAGACACAAATAGATTCACTGATATAATCGTGGGAATTGACAATCGTCAAAATTCAAGCCACGCGGTAAAATCTCCGAAAACATCCGATTCAAATCAAATATAAACTAAGAAAAAGCAAAAGCAATGTAAGCAAAAAATAATAATGAAATAAAAACATATTGATAGAGAGTGGGGTAATACATAGAAAAATCATGAACGCCGACTGAAGCAGTTAAGCAATAATTATATATTAAGTATTTATAAATAGCTGATTAATGAATATTTTCAGAATCAGGTGCCCTAACTCTATAAATAATAAATAACTTTGACAGCAAGCAGGTGAATTAAAGATAGGTAGGTAATCAAATAAAGAAGAAAAAATTTCGTTGGCTAGTTTAACACTGAGAAAAAACAAAGAGGAAATTCTAAGTAGACTCCTGCAGTGGCATCAGCCAAGTAAGCGAAAAACTGGGAGGCCAAAAGAACACAGCGAAAGGCAGCATGTCGTTCAATGAAAATATGTGGTGAATAATAAATGCTCCAATGAAAATGACAATGGCCTTGTCAAATGTCTCAAATTTATTTATGCACACTAGTTACAACTACATTGAACTTAATAATTCCGATTTCCCCAAAAATATTGAATCTGTACTCGTGAATATCTCACGTGTCATATATCTCTAATTTTCAAATTCCTCTTTCATTTTGAATCATCCATTAGTTATTTGATACTTAAAAGCAATTCGAACGCATTTTTTCCGGAACGATCGTTCTAATAACGAAAAACATATTTGATGCACAGCGAAGTATTATCATTAGGATGTCCCACTTTGGTGGGGGGTTCAATGAATCGGTGTATTGGACGGGGATACAATGGCCAGCGCCTTTCCCGGTCTTTTGTTTATTTCTCAAAAAATTCGTTATTCGCTCATTAAAGGGCACATGCTTGTATATTACCAAGCGAGACACGTGGGACATGTGAATCAAATTTATAGAATTATTATTCAAATACTTTATCGTATATAGAAATCCAAGGGGCGATGATATATATAAAGCCTGAAAAGATCAATGAGATTTTCGAAAATTAACGCAAATTTGCAGATAATTTACCATGAATGAATTTAGAAAGGAATTGAAAACAGCTCTTACTCCAAATTGTTATACCTCAACATCTTGCGCGAAGATATTTGTGATATATATATAGGCTTTACCATTAAATTTTAAACTGCAATTCAAACGAAATCTCAAAACTACAACGCATCTCCACATAAATACTTTTAACATTTCTGTATCCAAAAATTACGAAAACCTCAACAAAAAGTAACCAAGATGAAGCAAACTCTTAATTTTCTAAAAATGTTAGCAACTCAAAAATTCTCAGAATGCAATCTTTACTTTCTGTACATCGAAGGTTCCACACCCAGTAATCATTATTTTCGGTCAAGGAATTGGATTTAACTCCAAATCTAAGCGAACAATAACTTCACGAACGTAACTATCCGATCCAACAGTCCATCGCATTACCATTCGATTCACTCTCCGGCGGGCGGACCAATACGAAACTATTTCGAAATTGTAAATTTATTTTCAACGTATTGACACACCGGAGTAATGAACATTGATATTATTGCCGTGTCTGCCCATTTTGGCTATATTTACCGTTTGATTTACGTTCAAACGACGCTACATTACTCACAATTACTGCAACCAACGCTGCGCCGCACCTCTTGGTTTGAGCGTGACCTATAAATGATCAATGGGAGTCCTTTGATGTTCTTATTTATGACTGGTTTACTGCATAATAGGTTTTTCTGACATCAATTTTGCCCGACGGGACGGAGCCGATGCCGATGTAGTTTGCAAATTGGTGCGTTTCTCAATTTTTCGTGAAAGGATTAAGGGTACTCTGATAGATTACCATTACGAATTCATGAAAGCGAAATATAAAATTATACTGTAGTTGCACACACGCTACAATTAGTTTATACTGGAGTGCATATTTTCTAACATAATGGCTTTCAATTGTCAGCAAAATGTATTTGTTGTACTGTACTGTGCTAAAATGAAGATATTTGTATTGTTGATTTGTTTATGTGGTTGGATAGCATTTTTTAAAATCACCTTTTTATTTGCGACCCATAAAAAGCAATTTATAAATACTATCTAATTACGGAGAAATTCAGCCATTTAGGTTCTACTACAAAAGCCTTCTACATATGAAATTTTTGCAAAGTATAATGTCAGCAAAAGGAACTTTTAACCATATATGAGCCTGTGTCAGTGATAAAGGGAAATATCCTGGTTGCAGTTTGAAACCGACATTATTTTGGTAAAATATCTTGAGCATGTTATACCATCATTTGTTAAACAAAATAGGTTGTGGGTTTCTACATTTCATTTTATATGTTTGTTAGCCTTTGCAATGTAGTTGGTTCTGAAAGTGTTCTTTGTTATTTTTCCCTGACGGATGTTATATTGTTTTAACAGAATAAATTTCTAGGTATTGCAGTGTGGCCTATCATGTTGATTATTTAATATTTCAAATTTATATTTAAACAAGACAGACTGATTTTACGATACCACGACGTTCTTTGAACTAAGAATGGCTCATGGAAGCTAGTATCAAATTATAACTAAAAAACTATAATTAGGCAACAAGGAGGGTTGGATGGCTTGGAGAAGGAGAGACTAAATTCAATGGAGTTCATAGAAAAATCGTTTGAAAAGTGACAAAAGAGCAGATGTAAGGTGTTTTAATTTTGGGTTCAGCGGTTGAGATAGTTTTAGGGCTCTGTAAAGAGAGTTGATAACCGATGATTATTGGAGCGGTTGGTGATGCGACAATGCATTAAGGTGTCTGTCTCTTGCATAAGTTCAACAACAACCGAGTAATTAGTACTAAATGTGTTCGAATCCGTGTTGTTTAATGTAAATACTTTTTGGTAGACATGTCAATGTCCAGTATAGTAAAGTAACTTTAAAGCGAGACCCCGCCATACTTGTAGTAATATGAAAAAAGGATATTTGTTATTACTAGTATTATTATTATTATTATTTCAAATATAATGGATGTCTGGTCCTACTCACATATATTTGTAAAAATAAATGATCTTCGAGTTTGTTGTGCAAGAAAGGAAGAATGCTAAATAATTACTTTGAATAAAATGATAAACTAATTTTGTAAGAAATTTCTAGTAACCGCTTAGGATTGGTGAATAAGAATTTCACGATGCCTAGCAGACATAATGATCATATATAGTGACACGAAGGCAAATCTAAATTGGAAGTGGCTTGTTCAAATATTCTACGTCCTATTATAATCCCCCCGGATACGCCACTTCAATTTAATCTTCCGTCAAATACTAATCTTACGCGATAAAAAATGCATACACTTAGCAAACAGAGCATTAAAAGACGTATTGCGCATTTTGCAGCTGC